ACTGTTGCTTCCTGTCCTACATATAGGTTTCTCAGGAGACAGATAAAGTGGCCAGGCACTCCCATTTCTTTAAGAACTTGCCATAGTTTGCTGTGGTCCACACAGTCAAAGGCTTTCGCATAGTCAATGAAGCAGAAGTAGATACTTAGGATAAATCTGACTCAGGAACAACTACTACATGCCTGGCATAGTGGCTATTGGTCTGGACCCAATAGCCTATTGCCAGGTGACCCCAGCCAGAACAGCAGATCCAGTCATGCCAGCACAGAAGGCTTTGGTCCATTCCAAACACACTACATCTAGTATATCTCTGAGTTTGGACGGTACTGGAAGACTGCGATTGGAGCCCTGTCCTCTCAGGAGTACGGCAGAGAGAGGAGATCTCAGAGAAACTACACCGCCAATCCATCCTATGCGGGTTTCTCACATGACAGTTGTGCCAGACAGCAAAGCCTTTGCATCCTTCACAAACAGTAAAGCACAGTTGCCAATTTACTAAGGGGCTAATGGGAGTTGTAGTCCAAACTTGGGAGGGTACAGGGCTGGGGAAGGAGAGACAAAGCAAAAAAACCATTATCTAGAAAGCCCCAAAGTACAGGCTAAGCATACAAAAGGCAAGTCTTTCTTGCTTAAAATAATAAGTATCCATAAAGTTCTTAGCTCTTGGACATAATCATCTCTTTATATAGTTAAACTCTGTTGACTTTTTTTAACTTAGCGTACACTGTACCTCCAATACTATCAACATAAAAAGTATCTACTTCCTCTTCAGCTCTTTTTCCACTTACAAAGGGACTTGTGTTTCAGCTAATAGAGAAAGCTCTGAGTAACAATTGGGGTTTTTTATAGTTTCAAAAACAGATGCTGAATTATTGCCAGCTTCTATATTATAGCTGTTCAGTTCTTGACACCATCACAGGGCACCCATGGTGGCCCCACGCAAAGGAGGACAGGCTTCTTGTGCCTTTAATAACTGAATGAAAATTTGAAAAGGTGAATTGAAAGAGATATGCTGAGATTTATCAGCATATCTCTTGCAATTTCTTGCTGAGTAAGAATCCTACCCTCTCTTGTACCTAATCACCTGACAGCCTCATTTTGCGTATCTTCAGCCTCCTTCCACCTTTGCTTTCAAGACTGTGACTAAATGTATTTACTCTGCATGGCTTTAACATTAGCTGCTCCCCCCCCTTTTTTTGCCAAGTTTAGCATCTGTTTGTTGAAAGACACTTGCATATCTAAAAGCTTGCACTCTAGGGTGTGACCTTTGAGCCTGTCTCCTGAAAGTATTACCTTTATACTGGTTTTAGAATTGTTGTCAATACAGCTGCATTTTACAGTGTGTATGTTTTGTAGTTTCTTCTGACCTTAGCTTATATATATGTAGGACAGTCAAGTCTAAACCTTTGGACCTGAACTATCAGGTAACAAGAAGATGCCAGCCTGACAATTTTTGAGGGCATTTCTCATACCTTCAGAATGTGCCGTTTGCACATGCTCAGAAGTACCCTTACTTTTTAATTACATTGCTTGATCCAGAGCCACTGTTGGCATCCAAATGCTAGGTATTGATCTACTGTATTTACCACTGAGACTCTATAATGTCTGCTACACACCACTTTGCATTCCCTGCTCAACCATCTGCCCCTAGTTTTCAGGCAGTGACCCTAAAATCTCACTGAACTAACTGCTACTCACTTGGCAACCTTAGCTTTATATCCAGATACGTCTTATCAGAATGACATCACAATGGTACCAAGGCAGCTTCCATCCCATTGGCTGGGCCTCCAGTTAAAGGGCTTAGCTAGTGGAAGCCTCTTATCAGTTTAAGTTCAAACAGCTGTTGGGAAGTTTGGCTTGGTTAAGGAGGAGTCTTCATGGCTTACCTGTTTTAAACAGACTGCGTTGAGCAGGGTAAGTTTTTTGTAAATTGCCAGTGAATTGTAGGGGGAAGGTACAAAAGACTTGGTTATGCTTGGATAGTAAACAAAAAGATAATTATATTTTAAAAATAAAGCCAGGCTATATATGATAGAGTGGTAGAATATACCAGATGGGTGGGATATAAATTGAACAAATAAATACTGTAAATAAATAAATATAGTGGCTTTCTACAAGTGAATGGTAAACTGGAAAATATCTATATATGGTCAGTTTTGCCTTTTGTGTTATTTAAGATAAGATGCCCCACAAACTCCCTCCTTCCCTGGCAGTTGCACAGGTTCATTAGTGAAGCCAACCTTCACATTGGGAACAACGGCTGTCACCAACAGTAGTTCTAGCCTAGCATGTACTGTAGAAACTTCGCTTTCTTAAACAGATTTTATTTTATTTTATTTTATTTTATTTTAATTTATGTGCCTCCCATACTACCCAAAGGTCTCTGGGTGGCACTTTTAGAAGTGTAGGACACCACTACCCCATCGATCATCATGGAGCCAGAAAAGCTGCTGCAGTGTCCCTATGACAAGAACCATCAGATCAGAGCGAGCAGGTTCCCTTATCACTTGGTGAAGTGCAGTCAGGTAAGAGGAAAATGGAAGTTGGGTTTGGGAAAGGAAAGGTGTTGTGTTTCTGAGATGGTCTTGGACATGTTGTGGTAGAAGGAAATAGCTTTCTTGAGTGATCTGGGTTGTCAATTTGCACCAAAAGCAAATTGCGCTGCTTATATTCCACCCTGCTGCTCTTGAAGCACTCTCTGGCTTGGTTTACAATTTAATTGCACAAGCTACATATTGTTTAACCCCAGCAAGCTGGGTACTCAATTTATTAATCTTGTACAGCGGAGTGAACCTCCAGCTGGCTACCTGGAATCGAACCTAATTCATGAGCAGAGTTTTGGTTGCAATATTACAGTTTAACCACTGTGCCGCGAGGCTCCTACTAGGAAAGAAGAAATGTTCATAGATTTAGCATTTGGTGGCTTATCTCCCCAAAAGAAGAAAGAGTGGGCTCTGATTGTCTAACACCTTGTATAACCACAGAAACCCGCAAGATCCAAAGATAATTTCATGATGCTCCAGCTTGAGGAAGTCACTTGAACCCCACCTACAGTCTCCTGTCCTAGCATGTCCTATTCTTTATCTCCCAGACTTAGATACTATTCAGAACCTTATACAGTAGCATGACTCCTCTGGATAACCTGCCTAGTCAGACCTTTCTTAGCTGAATCCTCACTGAAAAGTCTAATGTCTTAGGAAAAAGTCACCCTAGAAATTGAGTGTATCACTGGAGTTATCATTTGGGTGTTTTTTTTAAAAAAAAGAGCGAGAGAGATGGCTTACTAATAGGTTGCTCCTGAGACACTGCTATTTATAGTGAGAAGATTCCTAGAAGTCAGAAACGGAAGAAAGAATCTTTTTTAGTTTGTCTTATATTTCAGTTAATGTGAGTGAGCCTTTTCTAGCACCAACACCATTGCAAGATCTGTCAGCTAGCAATTTTTCTTTTTTTAAATTTAATTTTTATTATATAACAAATAATCAAACAACAAGGGAAACAAATACAACGGGGAAAGGAAAGAAAACAAAATATAACTGAACAAAGGCATGGGGAATTCTTTACAGTAATACAATATCTAATATAATCTTGGCTCCACAGCTGTATTACAATACTAAAATCTCTAACATATGCTATATCCTCTATTCATGTTTGTTTCTGGGCCCAATCATAACACATTTTCCAATTTTCTTTAACATATATTCTCTGGTTTTCACGTAAAGCCTCTGATAATGCTATCCATTTCTGCAATATCCAATAATTTTTTAAACCGCTCCTCCATCGTCAGATTTTCCTGATTTGTACATTTTTGGCCCCAGATCAACCTTGCAGCTATAAATATGTGCAACAATATATATTTATTTTTTCCAACAATTTCTGGCATTCTATTCAGCAGAAACATTTATGGTTTGTTCACGTAAAGCCTCTGATAATGCTATCCATTTCTGCAATATCCAATAATTTTTTAAACCGCTCCTCCATCGTCAGATTTTCCTGATTTGTACATTTTTGGCCCCAGATCAACCTTGCAGCTATAAATATGTGCAACAATATATATTTATTTTTTCCAACAATTTCTGGCATTCTATTCAGCAGAAACATTTATGGTTTGAAAGCTATTTTTTGTTGTATAATTTCTTGTGTAATATCTTTTATCTGTCTCCAAAATCTTATTCATGTTTGTTTCTGGGCCCAATCATAACACATTTTCCAGTTTTCTTTAACATATATTCTCTGGTTTTCGCGTAAAGCCTCTGATAATGCTATCCATTTCTGCAATATCCAATAATTTTTTAAACCGCTCCTCCATCGTCAGATTTTCCTGATTTGTACATTTTTGGCCCCAGATCAACCTTGCAGCTATAAATATGTGCAACAATATATATTTATTTTTTCCAACAATTTCTGGCATTCTATTCAGCAGAAACATTTATGGTTTGAAAGCTATTTTTTGTTGTATAATTTCTTGTGTAATATCTTTTATCTGTCTCCAATATCTTTTTACTCTATCACATGTCCACCACAGATGAAAAAAAAAAGTCCCAGGTTGCTGACAACACTTCCAACATAAGTTGTTAATCCCCGACATCATTTTTGCCAGTTTTACAGGTGTAAAATGCCATCTATAGAACATCTTTAAAACATTTTCTCTCAGGTTTACTGGTTTAATCCATCTATAGTTATCATTCCACATTTGAGTCCAATCATCTATGTCTATATAACCAAAATTATGTGCCCATTTAATCATCACTGCTTTCACACTTTCGTCCTCTAAATTATATTCTAACAAAAAAGTATACATTTTTTGTATGATCTTATCATTTGTATAAATCCATAGCTCATCCACCTGTACCTTCCCCTCATAAAAGCCAATTATTTTATCTTTTTTAAACCATGATTCTAATTTTAACATCACCCACCTGTCCATTGGTAGACTCATTTCCTTCAGCTCCTGCATATTTTTTTATTGTTGCTCTTTGGTTAAGAGCTCTTTATACATACTATATATCTCCATTCTTTTGAGATTAAAGAAGGTTTTATAAAAAGCTATATTGGAATTTTTTTTATGTTTGGCTCTGAAATATTTGCCAGACCTGGTATAATGCTTTCCTTACAATGTGATCAGGAAAAAAAAGAAAAAAAGAAAAAAGTGTTTGGTCCTTGCCCTTGCTATACTGTACATATGTGTGCCATCCTAATCTCAAATCCTGCCCTTCCAAAGTTAGAAGCCTTTGGTCCTCCAAAGTAATCCATTCCTTTATCCAGTTCAGAGTGCAGGCTTTATAATATAATAAACAATTTGGTAAGGCCATTCATCCTCTTTCTTTTAAGTCCTGTAGGGCTTTGAGTTTTATTCTCGGTTTTATTTATAATTCAACAGTATTGGCAAATTTTGGAACAGGAATAGAAGCTTTGGTAAAATGTGCATCTTTATAGTAGCAATTCTATCCAGCTTTGTAAGTTGCAGTTTACCCAAGTTTTCCTGTATTTCTTTAAGTACTGGGAGATAATTATCTTTCATCAAGCTGCTTTTTTGTTTTTGTTTTTTTATACACTCCTAAATATTTTCTTTTTGACATATGTTCAAAGCCAGTTTCTAATTCTAATTTTTTTCTTCTCACATTTTTTTGTCAAAAATTGGTTTTTCATAATTCAGTTTAAGTCCTGATACTGCACCAAAGTTTTCAATAGTGGATATTCTCAAATCGAGTCCTCCAGGTTTTCTAGCAATAGTACCAAATCGTCAGCATAAGCTTGAAATTTATATTCCTCTCCTTTTTTTTCTCAGCCTCCTAATTCTGGAATTTTGCCTTGTCTGTTTAGTATTTCTAATGTCAAGATAAAAAGTAAAGGTGATCAGGGGCGCTCTTGTCCCGTTTGCACTGCAATTTCTACTGTTCTCCCCCTTCGCAGAACAACCAGAAGATTGCCAGAGACCTAGTGACATGTCCCTACAATGCCCGTCACAGAATTCCCAAGCAGGAATTCAACTTGCATGTTGAACAGTGTGAGAGCAAAGTTGCTCCGGAGGTTTATGGAGGTAAGACAATGGTTCTTTTAATCAGTCTGCTGAAGTGATAGCTACAAAGTGCACTCTCACTGTGTGTGATATCGAGTGATGTAGTGTAACAAAATGTGTGCAAGGAATTTGAGGGCTGGGACATTTCACCTACAACACAGCAGGCAACATGGGAGTCCTCCAGATGACAATAACTCTTTATCATTCAACATAATTGGCTATGATTGTTAAAGTTAATGGGAGATGGCATTTCATTGGATCTGGAGATCTTTCCATTCTCATCCCTCGTCCATACTGTTGGAATATATAAGTGCAAGCCAGCATGGATGGATGTTTCTGTTTTGTGCATACAAGAAAGAGTTGTGTAATTTACATATTAGAACTTCTGTAACCAATCTGAGTCTGCCTGGGCGTTAAGGCGGTTAACTGCCACATGGATAAAACAAGTGACAGTTATTCACTTAATCTGGAAGTTGTCCATTAGGAATCTACTTGTCTGTTACTATACTATGTCTGATAAGAAGATAATATAAAACTATTCTAAGTCTACCGAGTACAAGTCTGTATCAAGTACAGATGTTTCAAGCACTGTTTAGTCTACATATATATTTTTACAGTAAATCGGCGGTCCCTGACCTTTTTCGATCAGGGACCGGCTGGGGAAAGTGGGGCACTCCCATGCTCACGCGCATGCACGAACAAGCGCTCTCTCTCTTCCATGCACCCATGCAAGTGCCACCATTTGCACATGCACACAAGTGGGCGCACATGCACAAATGGTGGTGCGACACTTGTCTGGTGGTGCGCTCTCTCGTGTGCATGTGCAAACAGCGGTGCAGCTCTCGCACAGGTGTGCTAGAGCGTGCACGCAGCCACAAATGGGCTGTGCAGGGGTGAGTGCATGCGATGGGGCGGGAGGTCTGTCTTGGCGGCCCGGTTTGGCTCAAGCCACGGACCGGCACCAGGCCGCGGACTGGGGGTTGGGGACCTCTGCAGTAAATGTTCTTAAAGTTCTTACTATTACCAGATGAATCTTATCTGGAGACCTGGCCATTCACATCCCTCATCCATAGCAACATTCCTGACAATGTTTACTGGAGAAATCGATAACTCTATGGAACATGCACCTTGGAGAGCATAATATCACATACAGTTGTCTACCTCTGGAAGTAACCTCCATAGGTTAACATTTATTCTTTAAATGTTTGCTTGTTCTTGTAGCTGGTGAAATTCTTCAGAAGGGAAACAAAAAATTGGTAGCTTACCAAGGCCCTCCTTCAAAGGAAGACTGGGAAGCTGGTAAGTTTCAACTTCAAAAATGCTTCCCATGGTGGAGTGGATTGGCATTTCGTGCTTAGCTTACCACAGCAGCCTTATCACTAGGTGAAGACCTGGAAGTGTCCCTAATGCTACCTTTCAAGAGGGTTCAGAAGCTCCAGCTTTGTGTGTATTTTTATGCTTTTGCTTTGTGCTTCTTACTGATATGTTTACATAAATTAGGCATTCTAACTACTCAACACCTGCAATAGATAACCAAGTGGCTTCCAGATGTTTTGTACTTCATCTCCCATAGTCCCTGACCACTGGCTTTTTTGGCTTGGAGTTACAGGAGTTGTGGTCTGAAACATCCAGAAAGAGACAGCTTTATAGTCTCTCTACTCTGCACCAATTGCAGAGTTTGCCTATGCATTTCAAAGTCAAAGCTGAGGTAGCGGTGTTAAGTTTAAAGCCTTCAACAGCTTGATGGTAAGTCATTTGAGGGATCCTTTGAACTCATATAGAGAAAGGATTTCTGTGACATGTCACATTTTTTCTGCGACCTATGCTTGAATTTATGGGTGGGTTTGAGCATGTTTATCTGGTGAGAAAGACCAGATTATTCATAAACATGTTTGAACTTCCTTATGGGTTCAAATGTACGCTAGGTTGCAGAGAAAATGTGAAATGTCATAGAAATCCTCCTCCTCCTAAGACATGTACATCTGCCCAAGCCCTGAAGTCCTTTTTCTCAGATCCGTCAGAAAAAGCTGTGAGGCTGACAAATGAGGTATAGGGCACCTTCTTTGGTAGGTCCACCTCTATGGAATGTCCACCTTATGGGAATAAACATAGCCCCTTCCTTTTTATATACTTATACAAGCTGCAAAGTATAAAATAACTTTTATTTATTTTAGTTATTTAAGATATTTTTACCCCACCTTTCTCCTAAAAAAGGACCCAAGGTGGCTTTTATCTGTTGCTTTCACTTGAATATTGGTGTGGGTTGTTCTCATCTCTCTCTGATCGATTGGTTTTCACTTGAATATTGGTGTGGGTTGTTCTCTGATCGATTGGTATATGTACTGCTGGGGTTTTTCTCTGTGAGGTTATTATATGCCTTGATATTGTTTGTGAGTGAGGTTATTGTGCTATACTGACAATCATAAACTAAGGAGGATAATCAATTATGTAAAGTAGTTTTAAAAGCCATGCAACAACAGCAATACACACACTGCACCCATCCAGTAGGATAGCTGAAACAAACAAGTATCTGGCTTTCCCTCTCCCAGTGTGTAACTTTTCATCTAACTATTCCTGTCCTATGTGATTAGGGTTGCCAGACATCCCGCAAAAGGAGGACATGTCCTGCTTTTCAGGATCATGTCCTCCATCCGGCAGGCAAAACTAAAAAACCTTAAAATGTCCGGCTTTTGTATCTCCACCCCCCCCCCCTGCAGCCAAACCTCTCCCTGTTACTTCCTTGATTGCGGCCCTTGTAAATCCTCCAGGTCTTTCAGAGAGATCAGATCGGAGATAAGGTGGCTTGATTGTTTAGGGCTGTTCCAGCCCCGAGCAATCAATCCCCGCCTTGTGGATGGCTGCTTCTGCCTGGAGCTGAATAAGGCAGGAAGGTGCGAGAGAAATGGATGGAAATAGACAGGAGTGAAGTGAGTGCCCTTGCTTGCTTGCTGGAGGGGAGGCTGTTCTGGGGTTTGGAGGGAGTGGCCGTTCAAAGCCAGGCAAATGGGTCCAGTCCGGTCGCTCCTTCCTCCTAAAAGCCAGGGAACAGGAGGCACTTTTATCCCCACTTCTGCCTGTCCCCCCAACCCTGGGGCATGTGCAGAGTGCATTTCCAGGTCCAGGAGCATATGCACAGTTATCCCTCATGCTTGTGGGAGCTAGAACACACACACACACACAAAAAAGCGGATTTATCTCAGCTTGAGAAATTGCAAAGGGTGGAGAATATGGCTGTGTGTGTGTATGTGTGTGTGTCTGTGTCAGTGTCTGCAAATCCATTTTCTCCATCCTTTGCATTTCTCAAGTTGAGAGACATCCACGCCTTCTGTTTTTTTTCTTATGGTTTTTATAAAGTGTCTCAAATCTGTCACACAACTTTTTAAACTTTTCATTTCACTTTATTATGCTTCTATTAAAATAAAAAAAACCAATAAATAAAACAAGGGGGATGGGTCTCCATTAAAGGAAGGAATAGACTGTCTCCATTGGTCCTGGGAGCCCAGTAAGTGTATATGTAGATTTGTTTTGTTTTAATTTTTTAAAACATTTTTAAAACAAGAAAATACAGTGGCCAGTGGATTCTGAGTTTTGTAGTCCAAAAAATATAACTTTCCCAGTCTTACTATGGTATTGCCCCATGATCAAAGAGCTATTCTCCCCAATACCTAATTCCAAAAGTGACCCCAGATTGTGCACAGAGGCCCCCCCAATATGTCCTCCTTTGTCCTCCTTTTTGGCTTTCTATGTCCTCCTTTTCGGACACATGTATCTGGCAACCCTATATGTGAGTGAATATGGCAATAATCCTGGCCTGGCAGGGTGGCTTTCTTGGCTCTTGCAGTCCAGAGTTAAGGCCTTGGAAATAAGCTTTGTGGGGGCTAATTGTTATCGTTTACTTTTTTCACAGATGCTGAAATTGCTCCTGCTCCTTTTGTTTTTGGCATCAGGTATGTCTAAAAAGTTCACTGATGGGTATTTGACATGCTAATTGGAGCCACAACCTGACTAACAAATATCCTTGTCTCACATGCTAATGGAACCCACGCCCTTGTGAAAAGGAAGAGACCTGCTAAGTATTGGTGGCAGATGATTGCACTTAATAGGCCCCACATAGTAAACACCTTTCTTAAAATCCGGGGTCCTCTAACCGATTTATACTGGAGCCACTAGATATTGAGAAAGCACCATTGGCATGCCCCTTCCTAAAATGGCTGCTCTAGCAAATGTACCCAGTTAGAAAACTTCCCTAAAAGGCAAAACCAAGCCATCCACATTTTCTAAATACTGGAAATAAAAATGTAAACCCACTTAGATGTCAGCCCTGTGAATAGCAGGAACCAGAGAGGTTTGGCCTGACACTACAAAATGGAGAAGGAAAACATTAGTGTATGTCTTCAGGGCTGTGGGTTTTTAATCAAAATAGCCATCCTTGAAACCTCTGGCTGCTGCTTCTGTAGTCAACAATTGCTGGTGAGGCTGCTGACAGAATACTTTCTCAATTATTCCAAGTATCAATGAAATTCAACAGGAAAATGAACTTCTCGTGCCACCCCCTTTTTTAATGCAAGGAAAAAAGCAAAGCCTCCTAGAGCTTGCTTGGAGGCACAAGGAATCTAGCAGAAACACATGCGTGTTTCATTACCTGGAGGCTGCTTCTATTTATGCCTTTGGGTGTTCCCGTTTGGCTTTTGTAATACTGCCTAATGCATTTCTCTAAAAATAGTAAGTTAGCTTTTATAACACATAATGCAGGACACATAATTATGGGCTCAAGAGTTACAGAAAGCCTGATTCAGGCTCTGAATATCAGGGGAAACTTCTTAACTGTTAGAACAGTGCAACAATGGGACCAATTACCTCGGGAGGTGGTGAGCGCTCCAACGCTGGAATCATTCAAGAGAGAATTGGACAATCATTTGTCGATTCTGCTTTGATTTGGATTCCTGATTTGAACAGAGGGCTCAATGGCCTGATAGGCTCCTTCCAACTCAATTACTGTATTCTTATTCTAAAGCTTCTATTTATCTTTTCTTCCATACAGCAATAAGCCTCAGAGCTAGATCCACGTCATTCTTAAAAGGTATGAATGAGATCTACAGAAGTAGTACAGTGGAAGAGTTTTTCCCGAGTTTCACCTAAATTCTGGAATTTTAGATATGCTTTGTATAGAACGGGGGTGGGAAAGTCCAGCTCTTCAGATGTCAATAGACTTCAGATCCCATCAGTCCTATAGCTGTCATAGCCAGTGGGGAGGAACGCTGGCATTCCAGTCTGCCAACATCCAGAAGGTTTGCCTTTTGCCTACCCCAAGTTACAGGAAGACCCCGAGTTTCACCTAAATTCTGGAATTTTAGATATGCTTTGTATAGAACGGGGGTGGGAAAGTCCAGCTCTTCAGATGTCAATAGACTTCAGATCCCATCAGTCCTATAGCTGTCATAGCCAGTGGGGAGGAACGCTGGCATTCCAGTCTGCCAACATCCAGAAGGTTTGCCTTTTGCCTACCCCAAGTTACAGGAAGACAGAGAGATTGGCGCTGGATTACATTAAGGCTAGTCTTCCATCTTCTTTGGACCCATGGCAATTTGCATACAGGAAAAATAGATCTACTGATGATGCTGTGTCCATTGTACTCCATACTGTATTGAGCCACTTAGAACATCAGGGAACTTATGCGAGGCTGTTGTTTGTGGATTATAGCTCTGCTTTTAATACCATTCTACCAAATAGGTTGTTTTTTAAAATGATCAACCTGGGATTACCTCAGGAGAT